GTGGCTCATAACCATAACTTATATTAAGCATAGATAAGAAAGGTCCTAGAACATATATTATAAACAAAAATTGTCAAAATGATCTTTTGCCCATTTGCCATAAATAAAGGCATCAAGTTAATTTCAAAACTTGTTTGTAGACTTTTATATCAGCGAATAAAAAGAAGAATATTTGGTCGGGCACAGTGGCTCATGCCCGAATCCCAGCACTTTGGGAGGCAGAGATGGAAAGATTGCTTGAGCTCAGGAGTTTGAGACCAGCCTGGGCAAGACAGAAAGACCTCATCTCTACTAAAAATAAAAATTAAAAAAACAGCTGGGTTTGGTGGTACATGCCTGTGGTGCCAGCTACTCAGGAGGCTGAGCAAGGAGGATCACTTACTCCTGGGAGATTTAGGCTGCAGTGAGCTGTGATTGTGCACTTCAGCCTGGGCAGCAGAGCAAGACCCTGTCTCAGAAAAAAAAAAAAAAAAAAAAAGAAGAACACTTACTAATGACAATAATATGTATCTTCTCATAAGCATTTATTTTAACTTAATTTACCATTTTTTGTTTTCTCTAACAGATATTTGTGTATATTTAATTTTACCTTTTCTAACTTTTTGGTCTGAATTTTGTAAAGTAATTTTTTAAGGAAAGGTTAAGTAAGATTAACAAAGTTACATTTGGGGAAACTTGTAACAATTTTGACAGGGTGTGAAATGTCACCCCACACACATAACACACAAACACATAAACTGATGTTGTTTCGAAAAGTTTTTTAGAGATTAACAAAAGCTGTTTAATTATTTCTCTGAAATGTGCCATTCAAATGTTCTTGGGTTTTGTTAGTCTATGAGAAAAATGAAAAGAATCACTGTAAATAGAACAATTAAATTCTATCCTTAGATTTGCACAACCTCATCCACACAAATCGAAGATTTATTTTCATTAATGCATTCCTTTAACGATTTTGGGTGAAGAGCCTCCTGAAATGGACTTCCTTCTTCCCTGCCTTCTGAAGTAGAACACTCTGCTTTAGATGGTTTGACCTTGTCCGATGACTCTGAGCCACGCTTAGCATTTCAGGCAGAAGCAAGGCTGAGATGTCATCAGAGGAGGCCACTGCAGACCTGGGCAGGTACCCTTGGGCCATACCATGCAGGGCCATGTGAGCTGAGGGCTGTCCCCCAACCCCAGTGTAGGGGCTCCAGCTTCCCAACTTTGTCAATGCAACCAGAGTGGACCAGGGTGAGCATGAACTCCCTCTAACCTAGCTGTTGTGCTGTGAAAACATCTGCAAATCCTCGGAGGCCCTCCCATCAGGAAATGGTGTCTCATTTCCCTCCCCTTTAATGTGGGTGAGCCTTCTTGCTTTGCTTCAGTGAAGCAGCAGTGCTGTCCTGTAACTTTCCATACTGGATCTTTGCCTGGTGCTTTCTCTCCTTCTGTGAACACACGCAGATGGCTACACCCTTTCTCCATATCGATTCTGTTCTTTTCTGACTCTGGCTTTCTTAGTGTTGGGGTTCTCAAGTAGCTTCAGGCCTGTCTTGATGGATCATATTTCGGGGTGTGTGTTGATTCACTCTGAGTGTCCAGGTGTCCACCTCCATCTGCTCACAGGGAAAAGCCAGCAGTACTGTTGGCTCTGCCTTGTTCAGGCTACAGGCTCCTTTCCTGCTCTGACTTCTCAGAAACTCCCTGAAGCCTTTTTCTTCTTTTCTTACACGTGTCTGGAGTTTCTGAAAAGCAAGGCACATAGAGGCTAGTGCAATCCACTAGGACTTGTGCAACGATAAAATTGTTCTCTGTGCAGTCCAATATAGTAGTGTAGGGGGGCATCTCATGCTCCATCCACCTAGGCTCCTGGTGGAGTCTGAAAATTAAACTTATATAAGACAAGTTAATAGCAGAAAAGCACACAGATGTATTTGATACAAGTTTTACATGGCATGGGAGGCCTCATAAGGAAATAAAAACCCAAAGAAGCAGTTAGAGTATGTTACTTATTTACTGAATTGGACAAAGAATAGTAAACTGAAAACGTGATGAGGCAGAGGAGCTTGGGCTAGGGTAGTTAATTGGATAGAAAAGTGACTAGGAAGATAAGGGTTAGTTTAACAGGGTTTGTACAGAATTCTCTTGGACTCAACTTCCTGCCTTTGATGATAAAAATGTTGCTTTATTGCTAGTATAAGAAGGACATCTTTCATATGGGAGTTTCATCTCTTGCTTTAAAGAAACAAGAGGTTGGGGCCAGGTGCAGTGGCTCACGCCATAATCCCAGCACTTTGGGAGGCTGAGGCGGGCGGATCGCGAGGTCAGGTGATCGAGACCATCCTGGCTAACACGGTGAAACCCCGTCTCTACTAAAAATACAAAAAATTAGCCGGGTGTGGTGGCGGGCGTCTGTAGTCCCAGTCACTCGGGAGGCTGAGGCAGGGGAATGGCATGAACCCAGGAGGCAGAGCTTGCAGTGAGCCGAGATTGCACCACTGTGCTCCAGCCTGGGCAACAGAGCGAAACTCTTTCTCAAAAAAAAAAAAGAAAAGAAAAGAAAAAGAAAGAAACAAGAGGTCAAAGCATCCAGTGTGTATTCTGTATGCAAAAAGAAAAGAAAAAGGTCAAAGTAATCTTCTTGCACCTGTCGTTTTTCAGGTGTCTTTTTTTTTTGAGACAGAGTCTCACTTACTCTGTCACCCAGGCTGGAGTGTAATGGCACGATCTTGGCTCACTGCAACCTCTGTTCCACCTCTCAGGTTCAAGTGATTCTCCTGCCTTAGCCTCCTGAGTAACTGGGATTATAGGCATGCACCACCACACCCAGCTAATTTTTGTATTTTTTGTAAATTTTGTATTTTTAGTACAGATGGGGTTTCATTGTGTTGGCTAGGCTGGTCTTGAACTAGTCACCTCAAGTGATCCGCTTGCCTCAACCTCCCAAAGTTTTGGGATTACAGGTGTGAGCCACCGCTGTAGTTAGTGAGGCATCTAACTTAGTCAATCCACCAGGTGTCTAACTTAGTCAATCCAGCAGGGTGATATATTTTTAACTCTTTCAGTAGCCACTGGCTATGTGTGGCTATTGAGCACTTGAAATGTGGCTAGTACAGCCCTGAAATGGAACTTTACATTTTATTTAATATTATTTAATGTGAATGTAAATGGCCACCAGTGGTAGGCAGTTCCATCCTGGGCAGCGCAGGTGTGGGCAGTGGGTCCTTTGGCTCTTCTCCAAGGTGACTTCTACTCTTCTCCTGATCCACACCAGGGGTGCTTCTCCTTTTCTTTTCCTTCTTGTTTCAAGGATTCCTCAACTGTCTCTCTAGTCAGGCCTTATTCTGTGATGTTCATCTCTCTGCCCTGCCTCATTTCCTCCCCCAGCCTCTGGGAGAAGAAAGCACTTGCTCTACACAGTAATTAAATTTTGAAGGTTTTCTCCCGCTTTGGTGTGGACTGGCGGAATGGTGGGAGTGCCCATAAATTTCCTGTGACAAAGAAGAGAATGAAGGAAATTACCAGAAACCACCAAAAATGTCTCTCTTAATTGCAAGTACTAGCTTCGAGGAGGCAGTCTGTTCCGGCTCCTTTTCAACTGACTACAGATTTGAGAATCTAGAACTGTGTGCTTTAGAATAGGGGTGGATTTCAAAATGTGCATTTTCTAGACCCCAGCTGCAAGAGACCTTGATACCAAAACCCAGTGGCCTAGCAATCAGTATTTCTTAAATATCCATTAGAGCTTCTGCATCAAACCACGTTTGGGAACTGATTTAATCAACACACTGATTTACTTAGGAGTTTTTGATTTAGCCTCACTCCATTAAACGCCCATAGACTGCTCTGCTTTCCAAATGCTTATGTTCACTTTTTACGGTTTTTCTCTGATCTCCCCTGCATTTACGGTCACCTCCAACTTCCTGCCTCCTTCTCTCTCCAAAAGCACACAGATCAGCTTTTCAAAGTTAGAATAACGCATGTAGTAATCGTAAATAAACTGCATGAAGAGCTGAGATTTCTTTCTATCTCTACAGAGGCCTGAAGTGTATGAACTCTGTGATATGTGCTTTAGTCAACTTTCTTTCTAGGAGTTTGGCCCCTCTTGCCTTGCTCTCTACAGACAGTCTTCATTTTTTAAAATTTTGCATGCCAGTGCCCAGAGTGTATTTATTAATAGTTTGAAACTGTCATAAATCCTCAGCATCTCTGCCTTAGCACTGCCAAGCTTGAATGGTCTAGACATTGTATTCAAAAATAACTCCCTCTGGGACAGGCCTGAAAGTCTCTGGCACAGGATTCCATCTATCTACGGATACTTCTCCTAGGAGATTAAAAGTCTTCCTGGCAGGCACAAATTTTGTCCCTGGAGATCCATCCACTATGGCCAGTATTATGTAAAGGATAAGAGTTCAGTGGTTGATATCCACTGAATATAATTCAGTCAACAAAAGAGTGGATTGTGCATATAGTGCATATATGCAACTCATTTATAACCAAGGAAGAGAGGACCAACAGAAAGTTAGTTTGGGGAGATTTAAAAATAACTGAACTTATATTGGGGAAGTCTTGCTCTTGGAGATAAAAATGGCTTTTATTGCCAGCTGTTGCTCTTTTTTTGGTAGGCGGTATCAAGCATGTGATGCTTTGGTGGCTACACCAGATTCTCTTTTGCAGAACTTGCATGTAGGGTGTGGGTTCCATCCAATCTGTTATCTCCCTGTTCCTTCATCCATCCCATTGCCATGCGAGTTTTACTGAGTAGGTGATATTTACTAGAGGCCACGGATCATTTACCATGTCCTCATACCTAAAAGATTAAAGTTCACCTTGGCCCAGGACCCCTCTGGGTGGTCACGCCCCCTGCGCCGATGTCCCGGGAGTTAGCTGTGCGTATGCTCGGCTCACACACACCCCGCTCCGGGGCCTCCTGGGAACTGTAGTAGGCGGCTCGAGCATCCCCGCCCCCATGACAGGACCTGGGCTACAGCTCCCGAAAGGCCTCGCGCGTCGCGCCTGCGCCTGCGCCCCTGCGGCCGCCAGAGGGAGGGCTAAGGCGCCTGGGCGCGCAGCGAGCCGGCTGAGGGGGCTGTGGCGGCTGCGGCTGGCGACATGGACAACGCGGGGAAGGAGCGTGAGGCGGTACAGCTGATGGCGGAGGCCGAGAAGCGAGTCAAGGCCTCCCACTCCTTCCTCCGAGGGCTGTTTGGGTGAGCGCCAGACCGCGCGTGCCCTAGGGGGTCTCGGTACTTGGCCCCCTTCCTTTCACGCTGACCCCCCGAGTCCCCCACGCGACCTCTGGGACCCTCAGACCACGCCTAGGGGCCCTCAGCCTGCAGGCGTCCTCCAGAAATCCTGTAGGGCCCCCTAGCGCCCCCTGGAGCCCCCAGGACGCCCCGGGGCCCTCAGTCCGCACGCGCCCTCCGGAGACCCCACAGGGCCCCCCAGGGTCCCTGGAAACCCCGCATCCTCCCAGGGGCTCTCAGCCCCCACGCGCACTTTAGAGACCCCCTAGGGCCGGCAGAACCCCCCAGGGTTCCTCAGCCCCCACACACCCTCCAGATCCCCTAACACGCCCCCTTGGAATCCTCAGAGTCTCACAGGGACCCTCAGCCCCCACGCGCCTGTCAGAGAACCCCTAGGACCCCCAGATCCCCCCAAGCGCCCCAGGAAGCCCCTAGAACACTCTAGGGGGGCTGTCAGCCCCACGCGCCCTCTGGAGACCCCGGATCTTCCCCGTCGCCCTGGCCCGGGTTGGTGCGGGGGTCCCACTACCTAGCAGGTCAGCAGCTCCCTGAGGGCCGGGGGCAGGGTAGCCCGGGGCGCGCGTGGGGCCCCCTTCTCCGTGCGTGGCGAGTCGTATTGGTGCATTTCGCCACGTTGAAGCCCGTATCGCTCCGGAGACCGGTCCGGGTGAGGCGCGCCCGGGAGGAACTGGAGGGGTCAGTGCAGGGGCCGCCCCTGGCGCCTGGCACGCGCTTCTGGGGGCGTCCTGCCTGCTGGTGGGCCCCGCGGGGGAGGGGGCTGCCAGGCGCCGGATCCAGAGCTGGTGTGCTTGTTGGCCTCCCGCCAGGGGCCTTGCGCCGAGTACACCTTTAGTAAATACTTGAATAATGAACGAATGTATTTTCTCAGCATAGTATTTTTCCTTCTCCGGAGATTGATTGATAGCCAGGGCCTCCTGTTTGATTAACGGTGACGCTGCTCCTGTTTAAGTCAGCGCCCTTTGGGAATCCCGTTAATCTCCTGTAATTCTTGCTTGCTCTCTTAAGGAGGATTTTGAATTCCAAGCTCTCAAAAAGCAGAGCCCGCACTGACAGCCCAGAATTCTTCTGGGCTGTTGAATATGTGAATGATTCAGCTGTTTAGGATGAGAAAGGCAGAAATTTTGTGTGTGCCTGTTTTCGTTTTTTTCTTTTGAAAGTGAAAGATCCTTTGCTGTTACCAAGAGCAGATACTTAACCCATTGCATGACTAGACACGATTTCATTTCTGTACACATTCAGTTCAGACTCTTGTTTCCGAAGACACACATAATGGGCTCTTAGCTTGTTTTGCCAACTTCATTCTTTTGGCTATAAATTATAGTACTTTATGGCTATTGATATATCTTTAGGAAATGCTTAAGGACAAGTTTCGTGCAGTACTCATAACTGCAGAAATGCATAAAGGGCTGCAAAAATGCATGAAGATAAGGGTCCCTGTCCTCAAGAACCTCTAAGAGGACATTTATCACAGCTGGTTTCTAAATTTCTCATGTGATGTGTAGGAGATATAGCTATGAATTATGTTTTGTTTTGCATTTAAAAGTTATACACCCCCGTCTCTACTAAAATCAAAAATTAGCCGGGCGCGCGTGGCGGGCGCCTGTAGTCCCAGCTACTCGGGAGGCTGAGGCAGGAGAATGGCGCGAACCGCGGGAGGCGGAGCTTGCAGTGAGCGAGATGGTTGCCACTGCACTCCAGCCTGGACACAGTGAAGACTCCGCCTCTAAAAAAAAAAAAAAAAAAAAGTTATACAATCATAGTGCTTAGCCGCAACACTAAACTCCTGTTTAAATGATTATGATTCCCACACACTTTAAAATTCACTCTGATAAAATTTATGCCATATGTACCTCTGCCAGCGGGAGGCTATTTTAATGTTACATCGCTTTTCCAAGTCAGGAAGTGCTTCCCTGTGGTGAGGAGTACTGTAACTGCAGAGGAAAAAGCATGACAGCACTTGGTGCTTGTCTCAGGAGAACAACTTCTTTTGGGAAAGAGGTTTTGATGTTTTTAGGAAACTAGGCCAAATCTTGAGCTTATATCCTTAAAGGATTTTGAAAAGCCTTTGTTTTTAAAGAAACATTCTCCCTTTTAACTGTTGCTGACCTATGTTATTGACAGGACTATACGAGAGCCAGTCTTCACCATTCACACTCAGTTTACACAAAAGTTAGTGCATCTTAGTTCTTACCTGGGTACAACAGGTCAGTTTATTATCTAGCTTGGACTTAGGGCAAGTTACCTTAGCCTCTCTGATGCTTCAGTCCAGTGTAAAAAATGGGAGACAATAAAAGTATATCCCTCAAAATTTATGCGGTTCAGTGAGGTTATGTTTTGTAAAACGTTTGGAAACCATGGATGTTGGAGACAGTGGACTATGAGATATTAGATTAACATATTAATCAACATTGTCAGCTCCAGTTATTTATCAAAGAAGAAGCATAGACCAAAACAGATGACGTTTTCCAGAATTTCAGAAGGCCAAAGACCCTTTTTAGGAGTACATCCTGATTTTTTTTTTTTTTTTTTTTGAACAGAGATCTCACACTGTTGCCGGGCTGGAGTGCAGTGGTGCGATCTCAGCTCACTGCAACCACTGCCTCCCAGGTTCAAGCGATTCTCCTGCCTCAGTCTCCTGAGTAGCTGGGATTACAGCCGCCCACCACCCTGCCTGGCTAGTTTTTTGTTTGTTTGTTTGTTTGTTTGTTTTGTATTTTTAGTAGAGACAGGGTTTCACTATGTTGGCCAGACTGGTCTTGAACTCCAGACCTCATGATCCATCTGCCTTGGCCTCCCAAAGTGCTGGGTTTACAGGCATGAGTCACCGTGCCCAGCCTCATTGATCTTTTAATGAAATAAAATATCTGAAAGAGCTTTAACCATTAATGCAAGTGTGATTTATACTTTGAAGACTGTTATTTCCAGTAATACTTGCTCCAGGAAAGCTTGCAGGAAGAAGAGTACTTAAAGTTTTAGGAGTTGAGTAATATTGTATAATTACTGAACCCAGAAAACAGACGTAGTGTCTCTGTGACAGTTGGACAATTAAGATTCTGTATCAGTGTTAGATGTTTAGAATCCTACCTTATAGATGGCACGTATCATCACCTTTCTAGACTGGAATACATGTCACTCCACCCTGTCCCTGCCTTCTTAGCTATGGAATGTCCCCATATTCATTCCTAAAGGTCTACATGTAATCCTTTATTTAAAACGCAGGATAGTCCATCTCTATGTCAGACTCCTGAATTAACGTAACACAAAATTAATAAAACACACAGACTGACTTGAATATCATCAGAGCTCATGAGCTGACTAGCTAGTGCTTTAAAGAGGACAGGCGATCTGTTTTGAGGTTGTGGCAGTCATTAAAAGGTGCTTGGCATATTGCAGATATTTCACATCACAGACATTCTGAATGTTCTGTCCGCAGATTAAAGCCTGTCATGAGTTTTCCTCTAGTGTTTACCACTCACACTGGTTTTGTGGCAATACTGTATTCTTAGTAGTATTCTACAGTTTTTTTGTTGTTGTTGTTGCTTTCAGTAAAATTAGATGAAAATATGCTTATGTATTTATGAGAATGTGTCAGTCAAATATTTCTTCTCTGTGTAAGGCACAAATCCTCTGCCTTATCTGCTTGATAGGTAAGGTATCAGTATTCCTTCCCCACCTCCACCTTCCTCCCCAGGAAAAGAGCTGACAAGGGATGCAAACATTGCAGGAAACCACTGTTGTGATGGTTTGTGTTTCTGCTTAATTACCAGTTAAACAGTGATGTGCTTTTGTAGTTGTGGAGTTAAAACTTTTTCTCAAGTTTGTAGTATAGTACATTTAGTAAAACTGCTTCCAAAGGAGTTATATTGTCCTTTAGTTTGTTGACAGGAATGAGCTATGGAATTTTGTAGTTAATTTCAAATTCCAACATATAATGTTAATGAGGTACTGGTATGATTTTAAATCGGCCTGAGGCTGACATTAAGATAGTTTTCAATTGGAAAAGCCGTCTTGTAGTACTGTCCCTCCATCTTGTGCTGTGAGCCTGACTGGGAATAACCTGCACAATGCACATAGAAGAAAGGCTAAGAATGACAGTGGATAGGGAACACTTTAACACTGTTGGTGGATTGTAAACAGTTCAACCATTATTGGAAAACAGTAATGGCGACCCTCAAGGATCTAGAACTAGATGGTACCATGACCCAGCCATCCCATTACTGGATATATACCCAAAGGATTATAAATCATGCTGCTATAAGACACATGCACACGTATGTTTATTGCGGCACTATTCACAATAGCAAAGACTTGGAATCAACCAAATGTCCATCAGTGACAGACTGGATTAAGAAATGTGACACATTCCAGCCACAAAATGTGCTGGAATACTATGCAGCCCATCAAAAAAGGATGAGTTTTGTCCTTTGTAGGGACATGGATGCAGCTGGAAACCATCATTCTTAGCAAACTATCACAAGAACAGAAAACCAAACCACGCCATGCTCTTACTCATAGTGGAACTGAACATGAATCACTTGGACTCGGGAAAAGGGAAATCACACACCGGGCTATCATGGGGAGGGGAGCTGGGGGAGGGATTGCATGGAGTTATGCTCTGATGTAAATGACGAGTTGATGAGGCTGACGAGTTGATGGGTGCAGCACCCAACATGGCACAAGTATACAATATGTAACAAACCTGCAATTATGCACATGTACCCTAGAATTAAAAGTATAATAATAATAATAAATAAAAAAAAATAAAATAAAAAAAGAATGACAGTGGAGACCAGATGCAGTGGCTCATGCCTGTATCCCCAGCACTCTGGGAGGCCAAGGCGGGAGGATCACTTGATAGTCGGATTTGAGACCAGCCTAGGCCAACATGGTGAAACCCTGTCTCTACTAAAATACAAAAATTAGCCTGTTGGTGGTGGCGGGCA